CTCTGTGTGTGTTGTCTCGGTGTGTGGTCTCTGTACGTGTTGTCTCGGTGTGGAGGGAGGATGATCTCTGTGTGTGTTGTCTCGGTGTGTGTGATCTCTGTGTGTGTTGTCTCGTGTGGGTTGTCTCGGTGTGGAAGGAGGAGGCGGAGGCGGAGGCGGCGGGAAGCGGGCGGCAGGAGGCGGATGAGACATAGAAAAGAAGAACCCCACACTAAGATGTGGGGAAAAACACACCAGATAAACATCAACATCCTGGGTGATTTCTTTGTTTTTTTCCATCCACTAAACTATTTATGTTGTGATACTTTTGCGAACAGCCACTTTACTGCAGGAGTTGACATTCGGTGACACTTTTTATACATAGAGAGCCGGTTTTGCAGGTTTGGAATTGGATGGGTTTTAAGTGTTCGGGTGGATCATCTGTAATTGTGCCACTCATTGCGCTCCAAACAGAGGCCCTGCCAGTTCTACAAACAATGTCAGATAGGTAAGATCATCGAATGACTAGATCCAGTGGCTATCAGATGAGCAACCGCCCTAAGCAGTTGCCGAAGCGCACCCTCAAATCGTCGGTCTTCAGTGCACAAGTGTTGAGTTGAAGCAGGTAGCGTACGCTACAGGCTATCCTTGGATTACTCTATTCCCAATGAATATAATGTAGGGCTTGTTCACTATAAAGCAGAATGTGCAATCCCCCCCCTGTGGCATGATCTAGCAGTCCTATTTGCCTTGTTTGATCGACGCAAAGCTCAGGTTCTTACCAGTGGATATTCCAGTGCTGGCCGCGTGATGCGCTGTCGGTCTGTGTCACTCTGAGCCACAAACTACCCTTGGATCAGCCTACAAGTGCATGCCAATGCATACGGGGTTTGTTCACTATTCTTCATTTTCTCCGGACAAGTGAGGCTGATTCTTGCATAGCTACGTGTGACACATCAGGCAGGTTGTCGGTTTTTTTTGTTAATTTTGTGTAATCAGTCCGTGCATCTGTTTGGCACCTTTTGCGTGGTTTCTGATTTTTCGGTGTGAAGAGACTGCACAAAACATGTCACATGTACTGTATATATATATATATTTATACACATACATACATATATATATATTACCTCTGTTCAAAAAGGGGTGGATTGAATCACAACAACACCCTGACAGGCCACCCTTACATTGGTATCATATCAACATTTATACATAGAGAGCCGGTTTTGCAGGTTTGGAATTGGATGGGTTTTGAGTGTTCGGGTGGATCATCTGTAATTGTGCCACTCATTGCGCTCCAAACAGAGGCCCTGCCAGTTCTACAAACAATGTCAGATAGGTAAGATCATCGAATGACTAGATCCAGTGGCTATCAGATGAGCAACCGCCTTAAGCAGTTGCCGAAGCTCACCCTCAAATCGTCGGTCTTCAGTGCACAAGTGTTGAGTTGAAGCAGGTAGCGTACGCTACAGGCTATCCTTGGATTACTCTATTCCCAATGAATATAATGTAGGGCTTGTTCACTACAAAGCAGAATGTGCAATCCCCCCCCCCTGTGGCATGATCTAGCAGTCCTATTTGCCTTGTTTGATCGACGCAAAGCTCAGGTTCTTACCTGTGGATATTCCAGTGCTGGCCGCGTGATGTGCTGCTAAACATAACCAAACACTTTTTGCCGAGGTCTGTGTCGGTCTGTGTCACTCTGAGCCACGAACTACCCTTGGGTCAGCCTACAAGTGCATGCCAATGCATACGGGGTTTGTTCACTATTCTTCATTTTCTCCGGACAAGTGAGGCTGATTCTTGCATAGCTACGTGTGACACATCAGGCAGGTTATCGTTTTTTTGTTTATTTTTTGTAATCAGTCCGTGCATCTGTTTGGCACCTTTTGCGTGGTTTCTGATTTTTCGGTGTGAAGAGACTGCACAAAACATGTCACATGTACTGTATATATATATATTTATACACATACATATATATATATATATATATTTAAAAGCAGTGTCCAAGCAAGCAGGCATTTCGTATGCATTCGTTCGTGGACAGGCAACCCATTTGGCTTAGGCAAGGCTAAAAAGGGGCGGCCGCGCGTTTAGGGTTAGGTTTCCCTTGTTTGGCCAAGACGGCCTCGGTTTGAACATTGGTAGCGGAGCCCCCCGCCGACGGGGGGCCTCCAGGGATTTGTGTTGTAGAGTCTTAGGTAGGACTTGTGCACCAAAAGCAGTGTCACGTATGCGCCATGGCAAGCAATGATCCTGGTGGGGGAAATACCAAGCGGTTCAATGGGGAGAGCTTGGACCCCAGGGAATACAGACGCTGGAAGTTATGGGCAGAAGCACGAATGGCTTCCAGCAAGGACATGTCGGCTACGCACCGTGGCCCATTTGTCCTGTGTTTGCTTGATGGCCTAGCCTTAGAGGCAGTTGAGCATTTGTCGTTGGATCGGTTGAAGGAAGAGAACGGAGACAAACACATCTGGGCTGCACTTGAGGAGAGATTCCCTGATCGTCTTTCCCATGACTGGCTGGCTGAATGCTTGAAGGAAGTGTTCGAGCTTTCTGCCACGGACGGTGAAAGCATGGCGGCTTGGACATCGAGGGTACAAGAGACATTCTCCAAGTGCAGACGGAAGGTGTCGGTCGATTTTCCCACGGAAGCCCGTGGCTGGATCTGTTTACACTCCTCCGGACTTTCAGCTGATCAACGTGCAATTGTCACTGCAAAGACGCAGGGCGATTTGAAGTTTGAGACAGTTGTGCAAGCCATGCGCAGTTGCTTTCCAGAGTTTCGAGCGAGTCGAAAAGGCAAGTCAGCATCGGCTTTACTCGTACAACAACCGGAGGATGATGTGACTGTTGAGGACAGCAGTGCATTGACAGAGGACGCGCCGGACTCCGTGTTGTTTGATGAAGTGGAAGCATTTTTAGCAGAGCATGGCATGCAAGCAGAGCCCAACACCGCAACAGAGATCTTTGAAGAAGATGAGATTGCTGAGGTTTTGGCTGCGACCTGGAAAGAGCGTAGGTCTGAGATTTCCAAGCTGCAGAAAACGAGGAAGTTTGGCCAAGCCATCGCCATGAAGAAGCAGTTCACCCGGGAAGTCACCGACCTACAAAAGAGGTCCCGCTGCAGGAAATGCAATCAAATCGGACATTGGGCCCGCAATTGTCCTCAGAAGAGCAGCGGCAGTGCACCAAGTGGCAGTCGACCTGACAGAGACAAGGCTCATGGGGCTGCCATGGTTGAAGAAGTGTACCTGGTGTCGTCGCCAGGTTATGGCATCATCGACTCTGGCTGCAGCAGAACGTTGATTGGTCAGGAGACCTTGAACCAGTTCTTGAGGCTGTATCATGACAAGAAGATGCCCGCTCCACCCACTCGAGCTCAGCACAATTTGTTTCGATTTGGGAATGGGCAGGAGGAATTGTCGGAACGGGTGGTGTCCATGCCGGTCACTATCCATGGGAAGCCAGGTCGAATTGAGTGCTGCATCATCAAGGGCAGTGCACCTTTGCTGCTCAGCCGCAATACGATGAAGAGCTTGAAGGCGTGCTTGGACTTTGAGGCAGAGACCATTTCCATTGCTGGATCCGAGCCACAGACTCTGCAGAAGAACTCGGCAGGTCAGTTCATCCTGAATGTCATGGACGAGGAACAGGAGACGGAAGTGTTTCTGTGTGAGGAGCCTCTTCCCCAGGCAGAAGAACCCGGGCCCGTCGAGGTGTTGGAGGAGACAGCAGACAGTGACCCGTCAGGACGGTCTGATGAAGAGGATTCGTCAGACCTGCTCGAAGGCTGCACGAGAGTCATGACAAGGCGAGAAGAACGTTGCTTGCTGGCTCAACAGAAGGCATGGACCAAGGGTCAGAGCAGCGTGACAGTGGCCGAGCTGTTCTCTCCACCTCGTTTCACAGCAGCAGTGGAAAAACAGGGGGAAAGAGGGTTGGCCTTCGACATCAAGCAGGGCTGGGATCTCACCAAGCCCAGCGTGCAGAAGGAGGTTGACCAACAGTTAGATGAGGCCAAACCAGAGCTGTTGATCTGTTGTCCCGAGTGCAAACATTGGGGTGGCTGGTATCGGTTGAACAAACACAAGTTACCAGTGGTGCAACAGTTACAGCATCAAAGACAAGCAAGGGCGCAAGCAGATTTTTGCGCACAGCAGATCCGGAAGCAACTGAAACGTGGGGGACGAGTGTTACTGGAACATCCATGGACGAGTGACCTGTGGCGACACCCCCCTATCCAGAAGTTGTTGCAGACGGGACAGCTGACCGTGCATAAAGCCAATATGTGTGCATATGACCTTCGTGACGCCGATAACGACAAGCCGATTTTGAAGCCTACTGGACTTGCAGTTTCCCATCAAGACATGGCCGATCTCGCCTTGCAGTGTCCAGGACACGTCGTTCATCAGTCATTGGAGGGGCATGTGTTGGGGGGTGAGACACGAAGTAGTCGAGCGGCAGAGTACACACCCATGTTTGTTCACACATGGCTGCAGTGCATTCGTCCAGCATGGCATTTGTGTCATTTTTCTTGTTTGCAGGAACCGAGTGAGAGCACGGTTGCCGAAGTGTGTGCAGCTTCCGAAGTTCAGGAAATTGGTCTTTTAGTTAAGAAACTGCACAATAACCTAGGTCATCCGTCGACTCGAACCCTCGGTCGCATCCTGAAGAATGCCGGGGCCAATGAACTGGCTTTGAAAGCTGCGGAGCAAGTAGAGAAGCAATGTGAGATCTGCCAGCAGAGACAACGACCCACACCAGGTTTGCCCGCTAAACCAGAACAAGTGTACGATTTTAATCGCAAGATTGGCTGGGATGTGAAGCTTCTACCTGGTTGGAGAGTAAATCAACAAGTCAAATGCATGAACATCGTTGACTACGCAACCAGTTTCCAGATGATGATCCCACTGTTTGAGAAGGAGACTTCCGAGGTTCTGAAGAAGATTTTTCTGGAATCGTGGCAACGTTGGGCCGGAGCTCCAGTCGAGGTCGTGGTCGATTCCGCCAAAACCAACACAGCTGAAAATGTGTTTGAACGTTTAGAACAAGATGGCGTTCGCATTTCGACCATTGCGGCAGAAGCACATAACCAGCTAGGTAAGGTAGAGAAGCATGGCCATTTGTTTGAGGTGATCTTGCAAAAGGTACTCGATCAGGTTCAACCAAAGAGTCAATCCGAGTACGAACAGTGTGTCATCCAAACGTGTAATGCCAAGAATGAGCTTCTCAACCAGAAAGGGTTGTCACCATGTCAGTTGGTCTTCGGCAGAAATCCCAAGATTGCAAGCGATCTCCTCCAAGAGTGGCCGTGTCCCGTGGCGGCTACCTCGCCTCTGCATGACGAAGCGGCAGAGAGAGCAGCTGCCATCAGAGCACAAGCTCGTATGGCCCTCGTGATGTCCCAGGATGACAACAGTCTCCGAACCGCCTTGAACGCACGTCCAAGGGCTGAGAGGGAATTCCTGCCAGGTGACTATGTTGCCTACTGGCGAACTCAGAAATACCAGAAAGGCGTTCGGTTGGTAGGAGGCAGATGGTATGGGGTCGCAGTTGTTATGGGAAAGATTGGACGCAACTTCCTCATTTTTCACCGCAAGAACATCTTCAAGGTAGCTCCGGAACATTTGAGACATGCTACGGAAAGCGAACGCGTTCTAGCTCAAGCTGACGGAAGAGAGATGTTGGGTTTATCTTCATTGTTGAACGACACGGACAAGAAACAAACTGGTACACAGTTCGTTGACCTCACCAATACACCTACACCTGAACAAGCAGTCGCCAGACAACAACAAGAAGATTTCTGGTTGAAGCGAGGTGAGTACATGTGTCGTATCCACAGGGAGCCCCGGACACAATTGTTCTGGCCTTCGGAGAATGACCCCGCAATCAAAGGTATGTGGTTGGACAACTGGAGGAAGACGATCCGCTCGGACACCAAAGAATGTGTAGTCCATCAACCACTATCAGATGCCGATAGCAAGCATGCCAACTGGGGGGAAGATCCTTGGAAGGGAGAAACACAGTTCAGGATCCGTGAACGCAGGATGATTCCTTCAGGCGTGCCGTCCTCCAGCGTAGGTCCTGATCGTGTTTCAGAAGAGATGACGTCAAATGTGCCAACGAACTCGGTCGCTCATGAGACAGAAGAGAAACAAACGACCAAGAGCAGTGAACCATATGTCCGACCAGTGTCTGAACCATATTGGCAAAACACGGGTTATGGTCCTGTCAGAGTTCGTCAGCCCTCAAAGAGTCCTCCGACCTTTTTGATTCGACCAATAAATACACAGATGGAAGACTTGCAAGAAGTTTTGACCGAAGCTCATGGCACGAAGAGAAGTCACTCTCCTGAAAACCCGTCAAGTCAGGCCAGCAAGAGTCAGCGAACAGAGACAGATGAAACTTGTCTCCTTGCTGAGTCAGTCTCCGAGTTTGGTCCAGCAGAGAGTGCCGAAGTGCTCATTGCGAGTTTTCTCCAAAAGAAAATGCAGAAAGAACTACATCATTCCAAGAACCCGCCCGAGCTACAGGAAAGGATAGACGCTTCCAAGACAACAGAGTGGACCACACTTAGAGATGAGAAACAGGCCTTTCGAGTCATCGCTCCACGCGAAGCCCAACGCATTCGAGAACAGAAGCCAGATCGGATCATGACTAGTAGGTTTGTGATAATCGAGAAACATGAAGACGGAGAATCAAAGATCAAGAGTCGGTGGTGCTTGCGTGGTCATCATGACCCAGATTTGTTCACCAAGGTGCTCTCCGGTAGATGCCATTCACCCACGCTCTCCCAATTTGGACGAAGTTTGATTCTTCAGATGTTGACTAGCAACAAGTGGGTCATGCACTTGGGGGACATTAAAGGAGCATTTTTGGAGGCAGATGTCCGAGACAAAGCTCTTGCAAACCCTGTTTATTCAGAACTACCACCTGGGGGAGCGCCGGGCGTGGAAGCAGGATCCCTGGTACAGGTGTTGGGCAATATCTACGGGGCGAATGACGCTCCTCATGAATGGTATTGCGAATTCAACCGGGTTGCACAGGAGGCCGGATTCACCAAGAGCAAATTTGACAATTGCCTATACCTTTGCTACAATGATCAAAATCAATTGGAAGGCATTTTGGGTGCTCATGTTGACGATACAATCACTGGGGGAGAAGGGAAACAATATGAGAAGGCAATTCAACATTTGCGTGCCAGGTTTCCGTTCCGGAAGTGGCGTTCAGGGACAGGGGAGTTTCTGGGAACCACATACACCCAAGACCCGATGACCCATGAAATTGAGTTCCAACGGCAAGACTATGCAGAACATATCAAGCCGATAAAGATCTCTAAGGAAAGAGCCAGAAAACCATGGCTCCTAGGAACTCCGCAGGAAGTTTCAGCTTTGAGAGCTGTGAACGGTGCATTGAGCTGGATCAGCACTCAGTCGAGACCAGATTTGGCAGTGCAGACATCGCTCAGTCAACAATGTTTTCCTGCACCAACCGTTCAAGACCTAATCCAGGTGAATCAAGCAGTGCGTCGAGCACGCCAACAAGCTGATTTGAAGATCCGTGTACCACACATCCCACTAGAAGAACTTACTGTGTGTTTTTGGTCAGATGCGGCCTTTGCAAACAGTTCAGAACTGAAGACACAGGGAGGTTGGTTGATTTGCTTCACTTCAGATAAGATGCGACAAGCTGTTGATGTGCCAGTGCATTGTTTCTCCTGGAAGTCATACCGCATGCCAAGGGTTGCAGCTTCGACCATGTCGGGCGAAGCACAGGCCTTTTCGACGGCCTCAGGTGTGTGCGAATGGATGCTGCTAATGTTGTCAGAGTGTTTGGACGGTCCCTTTGATCTAGAATCTGCACAAGAAGTTTTGAACAAACGATCACCCATAGGGATCACTGACTGCAGGTCATTATATGATCATTTGACGTCCTTGGGAAGTGGAGGGGTTCTTGATGACAAACGAACCGCGATAGACATCGCCATCATTCGACAATGCATCCAACGGACCAGATTGGAACCCAGATGGTGCCCCACTACTCACATGGCAGCCGACGCACTCACGAAAGATCGTGCCGAGCCAGTAGATTTGTTAAGATCAATTCTCCGCAGCTCCCGCTACCAGCTAGCGGACGATCAAGTCATGATGGATCGCAGACGCGCCGAGAAAGATCGAAGACGTCGTGTGGCTCAGAGTCGGTCTGAGAAGCAGAAAGTCGAGAAGGCCGAAGGTTGAGGTTTCATGCCATACCGTCTGCATACTTTAGTGTGAGAGGGTTTTCACTGAGCAGAGCAGTTTTTGTGAGCATGATACCATAATTTGGTGCATAAGTCCTTGAGCCATAGAATAATGCCATATCCACGATAGATAACATGTCCTTCAGTGAGCGTCAATTAATTGATGTGCAGTTGGCTTTCACCTTGATTCGTTTTGGGGGAATCTTGAAATCAGATGATTTTGTTTACCGAATTTTGCAGTTGTTTGATGATGCAAGCGGTAACGGTGTAATTCAGATCACTGACCGCCGATGCTCGAAGGATTTTGGTTCAGCCGATCACGAGGGCGAGACATTTGCCTTCGCAAAGAGTCCAGGGGTGATTCGACATGGAGTCCCGCTCGTGAGATCCTCAGCCGTGCAAATCAGTACGGAATCTCATCCAAAGCAAGCATGGAGAGTGCTGGCTCAATGAACGATTCGTGCAAGCGACTTCGAGACCATGCCCAGACAGAGGCTGATGAGTGGGAGCCTGTGACCTACGAAGAAGGTCATGGATCTTCCATCATGTGTGAGCGTGCAATCCCGAAGGAAATTGCCAGTCAGATGCCCGTGATGCCCAAGGCTAAGGCCATCGATCTTCCTCCTGGAGTGACCGATCTCCAGGACTGGGGTTCAACGATCTGTGCATTGCCCAAGGTGGCAGGTGAGAAGCTATCTTACCGTGAGCTGGTGAGTGACCCCAAGCGTGCTCCTTATCTGAAGTGGATCTGTGATCACGGAAAGAATCGGGGCGGCCGATTCGAAGATCTGGCCAAGTATTTGCAGGCAGTGGGATTTGAGCAGAAGACTGAGAGCACTTGTTACCCCGGAACCACAGAAGCCCGTGAGAAGAAGAAGTGATCTATGGCTGGACGAAAGCATGCCGATTGCGTTCGATGCTGCAGCACGAGTCCGGAAGATTTGTGCCTAAAGCTTGATAGATAGAAGACTATAATAGGAGTTTAAAAGCAGTGTCCAAGCAAGCAGGCATTTCGTATGCATTCGTTCGTGGACAGGCAACCCATTTGGCTTAGGCAAGGCTAAAAAGGGACGGCCGCGCGTTTAGGGTTAGGTTTCCCTTGTTTGGCCAAGACGGCCTCGGTTTGAACATATATATATTACCTCTGTTCAAAAAGGGGTGGATTGAATCACAACAACACCCTGACAGGCCGCCCTTACATTGGTACCATATCAACATTTTCAGTGAGCTCCGGGTACTAGATCGAAAAGGTGCACCAATAGTGTGCCCACAAGCGGCCAGCTGATCGACTTTGCTGGTCTGTACAGTTTCGTGGTACTTGCTTTGCCTGCTGCTTGCATAGGTAGGCCCTGGTGTAGACTCGGGAAGTCTACCCGTGCCAAGTTTCTGTGGCTCTGACTGAGCTGCAACTCTTGTCGCAGGATCCACGGCATCAGGAAGTGTGTTGCTGCAAGGGAGTGATGTGACTTTGTGGTGACCTTTGGCACCTGAAACCTATTCTTTGTTTTCAATACGTCCGAAATGAGACGCTTTGTAAGCAGTCCCTGAAGCCTTTTGCACGGGTCCGAGTTTTCCTACAGGGAGATTGGGAACTCTGATACAAATGCCTGTCAGAGTTGCCTCCCATTTGCATGACGTTTAATGGAGGTGAAGCAGTCAAAGTCTCCTACAGGTGTTTTTCTGCCAGCTGAAATTGTTGGGACTTGGCATGGCAGGCGCTTCACCCGATCATCGATCTGCGTCGGAACCACAAGCTGGACAAAAAAGGTGGCTGTCTAACATGTCTTTGGTGATGAGGGAGGAAGGTCAGGTCCGGGTGCCTCAAGTATCACAGCCTCAATCTTGTGCACGCGCTAGCTGAGGGATTCATTGGAAGTCGCGGCAATGTTGCCTCTTGCCAGCGTAAACTTATTTGGTGTCGGTGTTAGTTTACCTGGAAAGCAAGCTAGATTGAACAGACGTGACATTAGTAGTGTTTGTCTAGTCATGTGTCTTCTTCTTTGTTTTTAGCAGAACAACATCTGCTACCGGTAGCCGAATTATTCAGGGGCCAAGGATGGAGCTGATTGAAACTCTCGAGGAAACTTAGGTGCAGGTGCATTGCTCTGTTGAGAAGTAAGCCACTTGAAGTGACAGTCTATCAGAAGACAGTCGGCAGAGCCAATTGAGCTTGAGAATAGAGTAGGCTCAGCCGAATTGCGGAAGAAGTCAATTATTCATCTAGGAAGACCTAGATAGGGAAGGAAGTCGAAGGAAAGGACAGACACCTTTATATTTTCCGGTTTGTAGAGGAAAATGGCTCCTTGGATGGCCATTCTCCTCTACAAACCGGTAAATGGTTTTCAGCTTCCATGCTGATTCCAGGGAGTGTAAACCACAACATCTATCTGTATAATCTGTATATATTAAAAGATCGAGTTTCCTTTCGACTTCAGAAAAAGCTTCTGCGATGCATATGTGGATCCAATCCTCGGAGGCCGAAGCTCATTTGCTACAGCTCTGCGCTTCGGAGCGGCCGAGGGGCGGTGCGTGGGCTCATGGGGACTTCGGTGGACTACTGGTAGGCTCGTTCACAGCTGGGCCTTGTTCCCAGATAGCGAAAGCTATAGAGTCTGGAGGTTCATATTTCAAGCATGGGAAGAGGTGCCTGTGTGCGCAGGCTCCAAGCCTGAGCAAATTTCATCAAATATTTTTTGCATTCTTTTGCTATCTGGGGTCTACACTGGCGTATCTTTTTGCAAGAAGTCTCGCGAATGGGACTTCCCATAGCGAATAGGATAGATGTGGATATCCTTGGGTCAGCTCAAATTCAGAGTTGGACCATGTACTGTGCAGTCCAAGAAACCATGAAAAAGATGGTACAGTACCACCATGTACCCTCATGTCGTCTATTTCCAGTGCTTAAGTGGCTGAATTCATGGCTGGAAACCCACCAGACCCCAGTGGCCCGCGGCACTTCGAGGAGACCTTCTTCGCACCCTGTGGTCAGGGCCACAGTGCTTTGGTTTGTGCTGAGATTGGCGGTTCCACACTGAGTCGAACATCGTTACCCAAAAAAACATTTGTCCCCAGATAGCGAAGCTATGGGGTTCTTACTTCAAATAACAATGAGTTGCTGGTGCTGTAAGCTTGCACGTGGTGGATACAGGTTGCTGATGCCGGTGCTGGTTCTGGGTGCCGGGTGCCGGTGCTGGAGCTGGCTGTGCACGTGGTGGAGACAGGTTGCTGGTGCTGGTGCTGTGAGCTGGCTGCGCCGGGTGGCGGTGCCGGTGCTGCACGTGGTGGAGGTTGCTGGTGCTGGTGCCGGGTGCCCGTGCTGGTGCTGGGTGCTGGGTGCCGGTGCTGGTGCTGGTGCTGTGAGCTGGCTGTGCACGTGGTGGAGAGGTTGCTGGTGCCGGTGCTGGTGCTGGATGCCGTTGTGGAGGTGCCGTAAGCTGGCTGTGCAGGCTGTGTCAACAGGTCGTGGGATTCTGCCTAGCTATCTGGGTCTATGCTGGTGTAATTTTCGCCCAGGCCAACATGGGGAATACAAAGGGGATATGGATATACATACACACCTGGCCATACTACTATATAGGAGCAAGATGCTACTACGGGCTCCTGGCATCGCCTGGCATCGCTACTAGGAGCAAGAAGCTACTAGGGAACCTGGCCAGGGATCCGACCGTAGACCCTTGCGCATCCTCAATGAGTCCACATCCTCCACGGAATCGGAGTCCAGGTCTGGTGCAGCGGCTCCATGACTTGGAAGGGCAACTAGCCGCCGCTGAGGAGAGGGAGACGAGGAGACGTTTTCTTGGGAATGGATACTTCCAGACAACCGAGGGTTCTTTTTCGCTAGCGGGCAAGGAACGCCAAGTTTTTTTCAGGCCTCCTTTCGTAGATGACTTGAAGCCTTTGAGTGACGGCCATGGAGAGATGCGGCGGCTTGATCTGACCCAATCTGACCCTGACCATGGACAACAGAAACTCTGCCAGAATAGCCTTCAAAGCTTGTACTTGTTGTGGTCAAACCCTGCGGCAAATACAACGATCATTGAACACCTAGATGGTCTGGATTTGACAGGACATGGTATCTTGGAGGGAGACAATCCGATTAAGGCACTCTGGAACAAAGTATTTTGGCTCGATCTTGTTCGTCCTGACTGCTTACATAGGTCGCTGTAGCATTCCGGCAGCCTACAATACACTGCCATGGTGTCAAGTGACAGGTGGCGCTTTCAAAAGCATGCCGTAATCGCGTCATTGTTTGCACTTGTTTCTGGCTATGCTGACGTCATCACCTTGGTTCGCTACCAGGCCTTTGCCAACATTTTGACTGGAAATGCCATTTATCTTGGGAGAGTCACTGTGAACCCTCAATCGGATGACAAGCACACTGGGTGGTTCTACGTGGCCGTGTGCGGATCCTTTGCAGTTGGCGCCTTCATGCAGCGTCTCTGTGAGCTTCGCTGGCCGAACAGGGGAGGGAGCACTGCTGCTGTGCCCCTGGCCTTGTTGATGATGGGTACAGAAGTCACCTACTTGGCCACTGACATCAACTACCACAGGCACTGTCTTGGATGGACAGTCGTCTTTGTGGCACCCCTCTTTGGAGTGGTCTCCGCTGCCTGTAGCACAGGCCGCATGGGGATACAAACCACGATGGTTACTGGGCATACGCTCACAGTCACTCAACTCCTTGCCAGACTCTTGTTTGGAGAAACACTCACTATACTAGACCTTCGAAAGCTCTTCATGAGCATCATGGCCATTGCTGGAACTGTGAGCGGAGCTTGCTTGGGAAGTTTGACTCTCATGAGTTTTAGAGGCTTCTCTGAGAGAAATGCCAATCTCTTACTCTTCCCAGTCCCTGTCTTGCTCTACACACTCTTGTGGCTGCATGATCACTTGGCCAAGCCCAGATCTTTGATCAAAAGGGTGCAGAAGAAATTGCGGTCAACAGCCGAACTACCAATGTATGAGGACTCAAAGGAGAATGGAGTGGACTCCAACGATGACGAGGACGACGAAGATGGTGATGATGAGGAGGAGGAGGAAGAGCATGATGAGGTTGATGAGACCGAGATCACTGTACAGTGGGATGGCAAGTCAGACACTGGAGTTTAGACTCCGCCTGGATGCCACATCGTTCCGAATTCGTGGGCAGAAAGATGTTCCAGCAAGTCTTCGACAAGACTATTGCCGTGTAAAGACTTTGAGGAACCACTGCCATTTTCCTTGCAAGTTCTTTTGAGCCGCGAGACATTGTCAAGTGTAAATTGAGGACTCGAGCAACTACTGCTGAGCATTTCTCTCGTGAGCATTCGCTGCCTCAATTCATGGTGAAAAGCCTGGAAGAGCAGACATTCAATGCTGCAGTATGCCACTCTAGAGTTTGACACTTCAACCACTTCACCCCCTCCAACTGCTTTTTCAGGCCGCCGCTGCCTCTCAGAGCTGTGAGCTGCAAGAGGCCACGGTCAAACACAGAACGCGCCAACAGGTGGGAAGTGGATGACAAGAGGTGCCTGATTCTGCTTATTCTGCTTCTCTTCTGAATTTGTGCCATTCAACTTTGGGCTCTAGAGTATATGTCTGGCATTTGGTTGCAGGAAACAGATAAACATATCAAAACACCTACGGCAAACATCTAGTGTGCATTGCATTTGGATTGGGCAATTATGTTCCTCAGCAATGAGCGATGGTCTTAAGTTCTTTTTTGGTTCATTTATGATGCGATTCCCGACAAAAATATGCGGAAAACAGCAAATGTTGGACAGAGAGCTGGCCTGGCAAGTATATATTATAGTATATATATATATGTATTATCTATAAAACTAAGAATCTATATCTACACGTGTGTGTGTGTGTGTGACTTTCTGATCGATAAGAACTTGATATCGTCCTGAGTGGATCGTCACTTGATGCCATATGCCAATCGCAAGGCCCGCGGTGAGCTGGAAGTCCTGCGACATAGGCAGGAGGTTGTAACCCAGCGTCAATGTTTAACAGAAGCAACCAAGATCCTGAACTGCATGGGTCTCGCAGCGAACATGCTTTTGTATGATCCCTCTGACCAGGAGGACACCTGCAGCTGGTGGGGAAGAGCTTGTGGTCTGAGACCTGGGATGTTGATGAGGCTCAAATCCATTGAGCTCCTAGAGACTATGCCATGCCAGAGTAATTATGCCATTCAACCCAGCCCTACATCACAGCAGACAAACCATTTTAAAGGTCATTTTGTCCAGGCCATCCGAAGGATCTTGATTTATAGAGCTGAAGGTCTTGAATGGTAGCGATGAAGGCTATGCAGTGAATTTGGAATCGGCTTTCAGGAGTTTTATGAGTCTTACATACAATTTGAGCATGTATGATTCTCAGGCCTAGATGGACCGAATTCCCTGCGACGGCTGTTTGAGTCTGTTGCTGTTGCTATCGTCGTGTGTTCGACAGTGTGTCATGATGCGTCATGTCTTCAGACTGGACACTGAGGATTTGCGAGAGAAGAATGACTTCCTGCAAGTGTTAATGTCCCGTTTTGAGTCGCTCAGCTGACTTAGCTCAGCCGTTCAGAGTTTCATGGGCATCGTGGCGGAAGCACCCGTGTCAGCTGACTTGCCAGCTCCCGCTGGAGACACTCCCAAGCCACCCAATGGCCGCTTCTTTTTTCAAAGAACATGTGCTTGTATGGGGTAGACCATTTGGACACTCTCCAAGCGCTCTTCTTTCGGATTCGGCCGATTCGCATGCTAGGCGCAAGGTCATGGTTCTGGAGGAAGAGAATGCTAAGCTTACCCTCCAGGCTGAAAGCGACATCAGGGCCACTGCACGCTTGAGATTTGAGTTCATTGCAGGCAGAACAAGCTATAGATACTAGGAGGGCTAACTGCTGCTTCATTCCACGTGACAGCTGTGTGATCACTGGAATTGTCACTCCAAAATCTTCAGAACACAGAGCATCAACACAGAGGGCAGCAGGCCGAAGGGTGAAAGCATGTGAAAGCTACAGATGGCTGTGGTCATGCTGGTCTCATGTTGCGTTGGAAGTCGATCCCCGGTTTCCAGTTCCACGGGCAGGTGCGGCGCCGAGCTCCGGAGTGTGATGCCAGCACACAGGCTGAGGAGGGAAGTAACTCGCGCTTTGGTTTGTTTGATTTGTGGTTGCTGGATTTGCTGGATGCTTTTCCCATGAAGATGAGTTTCACCACAGGTTTGCACCCTTCTCCCGTTCTCCCTAAGTGGTTTGAGGGGAGTACTGAAATGTGGTTGGCATCCATCCAAATGCTGCAACTGGGACTCGGTGGATGCCCCGTGTTTTAGAACTCGTTGCAATTCCACACTTCGGTGAGGCTCCAATTTGATCCCAGTTGTCAAGTGTCCAGAAAGCAACACATGAGGTAGCTCGGACAATCTCTGTAGATATCAGGTTCTCTAATGCATTGCCGACAGGACCTTTGGGTTCACGAGCTCGAGGGCCAGCTTGCACTGGTGGAAGGGCTTCTTCGTAGCAAGGAACGGCAGCAGGGGGGTGAGGCGGGACAAACATTTGCAACACAAAGCAGCGGCAACCCTCGACTGGGGAGGCATGAACTTGTGGTCTCTTCAAGCCTAACTTTGCTCAAGACTTAACATGTTCAATTCTCAGTGCTGCCGCCCCCCTCTTTGGTTGGCTCCTCCTTTTCATTCCGTGCCAAACACTCTCAGTCTAGGCAAAGAGTCTTGGTGATGCTCCGATGTTATGTGCTAGACCGCGGCCCCAACGGGACCACCCGTCCGAGCCACTCCTAAAACATGGACAGATGTCAGTCACTATGAGTGATGGCCTTGCGGAATGCCCAGGAGCACGAGCTAGAAGAAGTCAAGGACGTGGACCTTGGATGTAAGGGTGCGACGGAGAATCCCGGGCCGCAGAGATGGTTGGATAGCCCAGTCCCCGATTTGTAGAAGAAGGGGAACCAGCAGACGGTCTACTCTGCAACGACCTCCATTCCATCTCACATGTCCATGTTAGGCCCACCAGGAAACCGGGTGCTGCCTCAATCATCTCAATCGTTTGCTGAAGCTTTCCTTTTGTCGTGGTGGTGCTTGTAGATTCTGACAACCTAGAACTTCCGGTTGCAATGATCTCCACACTTTCCAACTAACGAAAACTGTAAACTGCTGTCAACGGGTCACCAGCCTTCCATTGAATTGAATGGCACCACATGATGCGCCCCTGCCATTGCAGGAGAAGTTGAAGCAAGAGCAGCAGAGCCGTTCCAAGTTCTTGTCTGCAGCGAAGGGTAGGACAGATTTGGTTCGGCTCCTGCAAGTGTAGGTGACATTTGAGCAGTGATGGCAGCAGAGCCCAGCAAGCGCAGAAGTTCCCCACATCTTGTTCAATGAGCACTCATGTGGCTGTTAGAATGAGACGACACAATGTGATACAAACATTCAGAACGACCTTCATGCTGGCAGGATCCTATTGCAGGCCTCTAGAATCACGGCATGTTTTTTATATTAGATGACATTGGTCATTTCAGAGTTCAGAGTGCTCACTTGCTTTGAATGAGCAGTCCTGGTCCTTCAAACCCCAATCCTTCCCTTGCAGGAGCCCACAAGAGCTCATGGCAGAAGTCGAAGCGCTCGAGTCGCGAAACAGCTTGGACCCTGGTCTATTGCGCTTGATCTTCGGGATCCCTGCCCTTTGGTTGGAGCTCAGTGTCCAAACGAATCGGCCCGCGGCCTGCGGCCCTGGAACTCCCAGCCACCAACTGAGTTGCCGTTTTGCAAGAACATGTGGGTGCAAAGAGGGGCTTGATCTTGTCTTGCTTTGTTGCCTTCTTGGATTCTATTTCGTTGCCCAAGGCTTCTTGTCGGACTTGGTTGGCCGCTTTGAGGACAAAGGGAGAGGGAGACATTGCTAGAATTTCAACTATTTCATAATCGAGGACAATGCATGTATATTTCTACTGGGCATGCTGGTTCAGTGGAAGGTCCGTAGGAGCCAATCGTTTTGGGCAGAAACTCTGTGAATGATCGTGGCAAATTGAGTCAGGCTTCGGGAGCTTGATGCACATCAGGACAAGACCATGATGATGGAGAAGCAGGCGAAGACTCTAGGTGCTTCTGAGGAGGACGCGCTGCGTTTTTTGCGAGTCACAAGAGGGGAGGTTCCTGCTGTAAGAAGCACCCAAATTCACTCTTGGTCAAGGGTGACTGACTTGACCCAACACAACGACCTCTCCTTGCTGGGCCTTGAACAGCAAGATCCGGTGAACGGACTCGACTGCACCAGAGCCAGCATAGCTTTGATGCGCCTGCTGTTTTGCAAAGACCAAAGCCACTCTATGGAAGAAAATGAGGACACCTTTACTTAGGATTGTGTATGATTGATGGTAATCCTCTTTCCCCATTATGTTCACATCGCAGTTTCTGCACTTCTTGCCATGCTAAGGCCCAGTGATGACGGCAGCAAAGAGCTACTTGATGTTCAGATTGTTGGCTTGAACGGAGAGGGCTTCGTTGTCCGAGTGCCTGATTCAGTCACCGGCCATCACCTCCAAAAGATTGCCAGTGACTGCCTTGGCACCAAAGCCGGAGCCAGAGTCGTACTACAAAAGGGAACGGAGATCAGAGGGAACAAATCCTTAAAGATCAAGCTCTGGTTGGGCAACCGGCTTGCGTGACCTATGTGTACACACCTGCCAGCTTGCTTGACGCCTGGAGATTCATGCAAGGCTTGCAAATTGATGATGGACTGAGGGCTTTAGAGGGAGTAAGAGACATATATAGAAGGAGCTTGTGATCTCAGTCAGCTGAGGGAGCTTCCCAGCAGTCTCCAGATGCTTACATTTGGCTACGACTTCAACCATACTTTGGAAGACGTGTCTTTGCCCAACAACCTACATTTGGAAGCAATTTCAACCGGATATTGGATGGGGTGGCTTTGCCCCCACGTCTCCAGAGGCTGACTTTTGGGAATCAATTCAACCAGAGTTTGGAGCGAGTAGCTTTGCCTAGCACTCTGCTGAGTCTGACATTTGGCAGATATTTCAGGAAAACTTTGGAGGGAGTGGTCTTGCCAGCCAACCTCCAACGTTTGACCTTTGGCTTTGCCTTCAACCAAAGCTTGGAAGGAGTGACGCTTCCCAACCTTCAGAGCCTCACCTTTGGGTATTGCTTCAACCAGAACTTGGAAAGAGTGAAGATGCCCCTCAACCTCCAGAATCTGACCTTCAATGGGAATTTCGACCAGAGGTTAGAACCGTCGATCTTTCCAAGCCTAGAGAGTCTGGCTCTTGGGCAGAAATTCAACCAGAGCTTGGAAGAAGTGGGCTTGCCTTGTACTCTGCAGAGCTTGAGGTTTGACAGCCCACACGTCCGCAACTTGGAAGGTGTGTCGGCTCTGAGCAGCCTTAGGCATTTGATGTTTGGGGATGAGTTCAATCAGAGTTAGGAGGGAGTGTCCTTTCCCTGCACCCTTGAAAGTCTGAGATTTGGCTTTGAGTTCAACCAGAGTTTGGAAGGAGTCACTCTGCCGTGCAGCCTGAAAACCCTGATGTTTGTGGTGCAATTTAGCCGGAGTCTGAAAAGGGTGATATTGCCTAGCAGCCTCAAAAGTTTGACGTCAGGGCAGGATTTGGAAGACACTTTTCTACCCTGCAGTCTCAAAAGTCTCCCTTTGGGGGGCTGCGTTCAATGAAAGTTTGGAGCGAGTTGCTTTGCCTAGCAGTCTGCTGAGTCTGACATTTGGGGATGAATTCAACCAGAGTTTGGCTGGAGCGGATTGGCCAGCAAATGTCCGGAGTTTGACGTTTGGGAGCCGATTCAACCAGAGCCTGGACTCAGTGTTGCTTCCTACCAGCCTTGAGAGTCTCAGATTTGGGGTTGAGTTCAACCACAGCTTGGAAGGCGTGGTGCTGCCCGACAGCCTTCAAAGCCTGACATTCGGAAGTAATTTCAACCGGACTTTGGATAGAGTGGCCCTACCGGACAGCGTGGAGAATCTCACATTTGGCAGCTCGTTCAACCAGAGGTTAGATGGAGTGGCTCTACCCAGCTGCTTGCAAGTATTGACCTTTGGGGACCGATTTAATCAGAGCTTGGACGAAGTGACTTGGCCAAGAACCTTGAAGAGCGTGACCTTTGGAAAACACTTCAACCATGGCTTAAACGGAGTGGCTTGGCCCAGCAGCCTTGAAAGATTGGCGCTAGGGCCAGACTTCAACCAGAGTATGGAGCAGCCGGCCTGGTCCAGAAGCTTGGGTCTTGCGCTCTAAGACTCTAAGGGAACATGAGAAGGACAGATATTCTGACGTGTTCCAGAAAAGATGTAGATCCTTCTCTTGTCTGGAGGGCTTCGCAGCGAGCCTTCAAGAAGGACAAAGTGGGGTTGTCTCATATCTGGCCAGTTTCAGTTTGCCTGAAGGGAGTTTCTGTCAGAACAGGTCTTCGCAAGAATGGGTCTGAAGCTGAAGAAAGGCCGTGCCAACTTGAGAGCTGCAGCTGCGGATGCTACCTTCTACACTCGATTGGTCACAGAGCAGCCAAAAAAAGGATCCTTCACACACACAAAAACAAATGCAGCAACCAGAGCAGACAAAGGGGGGGCGTGCAAACAGCTCAATTTACATCTACTGTAAGAATAAACAACAATACAAATAGAACATTAAATCATTAAACATGGGGCAAATCTGTTCATGCATACAAGACACACCTTGTTTGGTATACGTTTTAAGGCTGTTTGAGCCAATTTGGTAGAGAGCGTGGTTATAGAAATTTGATAGAAACCTGGAAGAGAGATAGGCTTTGTACTTTAAGCGATAGCCATGTCCGTACAGCCATTGGCCTCCTAAAAGTGATCACCTTGTTCATGTCCTCTTCGCCACCCAGCGGTTTGGCGTTTTCCACCCTCACCCTCCAACGCGTCGTATGTACCTGTCTCCCCGGAAGACGAAGTGAGGAACTGCCGGAGAAATTGGCAAAATGCAAAAAGGAGCAGGAGGAAGCGAAGGCCACGACGTTCATCGATTGACGAATGAGTTGTTGTTTCGTCACCCATTCATGACCATGGAATTCTTTGAGCGTGGGACCCTCCTTTTATACCCGTCCTCCCTTAATTAAGTAGGCACCTACTTAGTTAAGTAAGGGCGACTAGTTATATAGCTTCTAGCAGCTGGACGCAGGATAGCTCACGCTTCTTCAAGGAAGCTCCCCCGGCCTGAGGGCGGGGAGAGCTTCCTTGAAGATGCGCTCACACCAATCATTGGGTTCCTAGAAAATTCAGGGAAACTTAACTTACTGGTTCATTCCTCACATCCTTGTGTGTTGTCATGTATATAAAGGGATTTGACTCTGCAACTGCGGTGGATCTGCCCAAAGGTATCCAAAGGTTGTATATCCACTTGTTGGAGTTTCTCATCTTAACTGGGACAATGCACCAGAGGGCTTTTGTCATCAAACTACGGCAATACTTGATTGATATATATATATATATATATTGGTATCGATTCTTGATTTAATCTTTGAACAGGTTTCTAGCTGACCCTGAGACCTTGCCCAAAAGTAGTTTTTGGGACATCAAGAACGAGACCAGTTATAAACACATACTGTATATAGATATTTCACCGCCACGATGCCTCACTGTTGTGTCCAAAAGCAGGCATTGATCTCGAACTAGGCTTCTTAGCAAAGTTCTCGTGCCCATGGTCAAGAAAAAAAGCAAGGTGGCGAAAGGAACGGCCAGTGCAGCCCCTGCCGCTGTAGAGCAAGCACCACCAAAGGAAGAGAAGACCAAAACTGCGAAAGATCAGCAAAAGGCAACGAATGCACCAGCAGATGTCGCGCAGGTTTCGGAGAGTGCCTACAAGGCTGCAGCCGTGGTCTTTTTTTCACGCCATGATGACGGGCGGGTGGCTCAAGTTCTCGTTGCACTGGAGGAGCGGAAGGTTGCAGCTTCTTTCTTAGGCCTAGAAGAGAAAGGCAAGGTGAACCAGCTTCTAGTCGTTTTCCCCATGGGTAGAAAGGAGAAGAAGGACAAGAACGATGCCGTCGAAACCGCCAAGCGTGAGTACATTGAAGAAACACTCGACTTCGGTGCTTTGGCCAGGTTTTTGGATTTTGCTGACTTCGATGGCGGTGGCGATGTCCTTGCAAACCGAATAGCTCCTGGACAGAAAGTTCCAATGACATGGAGTGGTGCAGATAACATGGCGCTCTATTTCCCGCCTGCTCGCATGACGGTGCTTTTTTGTGAAGTTCCACCCGGTGAAGTTCAACAGGATGAAGAGCCGCCCTCGAAGAAACGACGTCAGGAAGTTGCTGCTGAATTAGAAGCGAAGCCCAAGCCTAGTCCCACATACCGGGTGGGAAAGGCTGGACATTTGCAGCCCATGTGGGTTGATGCTGCTATCCTAAAAGACGTTGCAAATTCCAAAGAGAAGGCTCCAAAGCTGAGCCTGGCAGGCAAGGAATGCCGCTTCTTTCCAACTAATGCCAGCCTCTTGCGCATGCAAGAGGCAAAGGCGTGGCTGAAGAAGCATGGAAGTGGCTGAACACTGAATCACGAAAAGTCCCTCACATTCAAGACAATTGATCCTTTTGTCCAGAGATCAGACCCTACAGCCAGCACATTTACGACAAAATTTGATGTTCCAATTTGTGTCACAACCTTGATTTGTTGGACCTTGACAGTCACTTTGGTGCAGAATCTCGCAAGGGTCTCGAGCAATGGCTTGGCGCCAGGTCAGAGCCCAGGAAGAGCTCCGTGCAAGTCTGGCCAAGCAGCAGCAGCTGAAGGAGGAGGCTCACTGCTCGCGGTTAGCAGCTGCTGAGGTTGGTGGACGTAAGGAGTTGAGTCTCCTGTACCAACTTTTCCAGGGGAATCATTTGAAACAGCAAAAGCACATGACTTGTCTTGCGTTGAGGACGAGTGAGTGATGAGGCAAGACAGATTTTCATAGGAATTTAATGAACTCGAGGAGTAAACTCCTTCAAACCCTCAATCAAGATATTGAGTACAAACAAGAACCTTCCAATATCGGATTTTTGATCTCAACTCACAGGCTCGCCCTGTTTTCCTCGACAACTCACCGGCTCGCCCCGGCCCTTGTTGGCCGTGCAGACGACAGAGGCCAAGGGCATGGCGTTGACGCTCCGGGACCTCAAACGAGAACATAACAAGCGGGTGCAGGAGATGGGTCGTCGAGAATCGAAAGCGATATGAAATGGGTTTAGGTTGTAACCTCAAATACATTTTTGGCCCGCCCTTACATATATAGTTAAGTAGGCACCTACTTAATTAAGGGTGACTAGTTAGCTTCTAGCAACTGGAAGCAGGATAGCTCACACTTCTTCAAGGAAGCTCGCCACGCTCGCACTAATCTTAAGGGTGGAAGTTCAAGGTGTGAGGCTTGTAACATTGCCACATAGTATAGTTTGCGTGGCAAGTGGCACAGTCAGGGCGATTTACACAGGCAAAACCCTGGGCCTTGGAATTCATGAGTAGGGGAGTCGTGGATGTTGAAATGAGCAGAACTTGACCCCTGTGCATTGCTGTTGCATTTTGTTGAGACGAATCTCATGCTGTGCCGGACTGCTACCCAATTGTCAGGGCAGTGGAAACAGTGGAAACAGTGCCCTTGACACTCTGAGAGCACATCCCAGAATCATCGTGTGTAGCATGCTGTGTGAATTGGAGCCTCTCCAAACCTGGAAAGCGCGGCTGCTTCCAGGAGTTGCTCCGGCAGCGCGCAGAGGCAAAGACACGGATGGCCAAGGAGGCACGACAGACATTCCTGGGCTGTCGCTGCGTGAACCATATGACACACATGCTTAGGTGCTTAGGTGAAAATTGGATGATCTTGCATGGGTGTGTATGTTCAACGGTTTGATGATTCTTTGTTTTCCAATGTGAGTCGCGACCAATCAACCAGTCAGTCGTTTTCCACCAAGCACCTTTGGATACAGTAACACACAGCGCAGGCAATTTCATACAACTCCTGCCTTGGCCTGTTTGGTGAGGCTTGTGGTCAGGAGCGAAAAGACCTTGCGGAGGTGAAGGAACTCAAGGACGGAAAACGGATGAGCTAGAAAGTTGTGTTTTTGTTTGAACGTTGAAACATGCTTGGCTGCTAGAACAATCTAAAATGTTTGTTTGTCGATTTGTCGATTTGTCAGTCTGTCTGTTTGTTCTATCATGTTCTATCATTGAATCTCATTTCTGACTCATATTTGGGCGGATTGTGGCAATATTTGTAAAGTCTCTAGGTTGCTTATGCTAGGCCCTTTGGCGTCCGGACCGGTTCCTCAGTTCGGAAGGTGGAGCATGCCCGTGGCACAGACTGGCTCAAAGCCTCTGGGATTCCACCGGAGGTTGAGTCCAGTTTGATTGGAAGAGTACATGACAAAAAAACTCCCAGACGCAGGAATTGAGGGTGGGAGAAGCTTCGAACATCTCCAACATGCAGTAAGAACTCTTAGAAACTCTTCTAGAAAAGAATTTGTCCGTCGTCCTTGCTTTGACGCCATGTCCGAGGAGGAGATCGAAGACGGAAACGCGGTGAAGCTTCCGCAATCTGAAGCGATCCTTGAGGCCATCATTCGCTCGTCCAAGCCTTTGCCGATCGGCCCTCCGGATGACAAGGACTTCTGTGACTGGAAGCGCCTGGACAGGATCTTGTTGCAACTCTCTGATCCGTTGGTGCCGTGGCAAAGGTGTCGCTGGCTGCTGCTTGTCGCTTTGGAACTGATCTTTGCTTGGCGGATCTTTTCTCTTGAGCGCCACTACTTTGCGGTCTACGTGTTGGCCATCTACATCTTGAACCAGGTTCTTCTGTTTTTGTCACCTTCGACGGAGGACCAAAACCTCAGAAACAATAGCAGCGAGTATCGGCCCTTCGTGCGCGCGCTCTCGGAGTTCCGGCTCTGGTGTCGAGGGACTGCGGCTACTCTCGCAGCCTTGCTGGTCACATTTATCGATGACCTAGACATGGACGTTGATGGCCGGGCATTGTTGGTCTATTTCGTGCTACTTTTCATATACACCATGAAGCAGCAGATCATGCACATGATCCAATATGGCTATGTGCCCTGGAACAAGCCCAAGAAGCGGGCGCACAAAGAAGAGGCTTTAGATGTGTAAGCAGCAGGCTTTAGTTTAAAGGAAGCAGGAAGACAGCATCTCTTTGTTGTGAGCCCTTTTCGCACGCATCAAGAAGAGAAGCAATCACCTGCTCAAAGCAGAAGTGGAGTGAGAGCCAGCGGCATCAAGAGAGATGATTCCAAGAGGAACATAGCAAAAAGACATGGGATCAGAGAGAGCTAAAAAGGGAAGGGAGGAAGGGAGGCAAAAGGAAGGTAGAGAGACCATCTTTTTAGGGAATGCTGCCAAAGAACACGGGCAATCCAGTGCATGTCAACAAGCTCCAAACTGTATTGTATCTCTTTTCATCTCGAGATGTAGCCCACATTCTTCCTTCATATCTATCAGCTGGGCTGCAAGCCACAACACCATGCCCGCTTCCACCAGCAACATGCTATTATACAATGACATGATACTCTATATAGTCCAAAACAAGGCAACCTTTGTTGCCGCATAGCGTGTCCAGGCTATTCCGTGCATTTTCCAAGTGCTAATCCGTAAAGCATCGAAGGTTGGAGGGATGGAACGGACCAAGCAAGCAGGCCAGGAATTCTAGCTTTGAGGGACACGTCTGCAATGGTGGGTTTGCCGTGCTGAGCAACGATGGCAGGAGCTCAATGCCCAGCTGGTGGAACGCTTGAGCCGGGAACGGTCAGAGCATGCCAGTCTCCCCAGCACTGTTTGGATATGGCATCCATGTGTGGCGACGTAGCATCAGTGGTGTTCCCTCTAGGGAAGCTTTGTCGTATTTGTTGAGTTTGGACTGACTTGGTCCCAAGCAACATCAACCCTGTTGAGCTATACAGTACCGAGACCAGCCAACCCAGCAAAGCATTGAGCATTGGGTGTGTCCTATCAACAGTGACAGTCGGCAAACAATTATATATCACTATTTTTGAGAAAGGCCTTTACTAACCAGCATCATCCACTGTTTTGGGAATAGGATGTTACTCAATCTGAGCACACCATCCCAGGCCGAGACAAAGAATCGCTTGGACATGTCCATCAAAGAAACAGAGACTTTGAAGCTCCGGACTGCGAGCCTTCGTGAACAGGCAGTGGCAGTCGCCCTGTTTGGTGGTTTGGGGATGGGACATGACGGGACGGTAAAGAATAGAATAGAGACATGCAGTAACGATTTATGCAGACATATGTAATATACAGCATACAACAACAGTTTGCTTGGTACAAAGACATCAGGAGTTTGTTAGAGAGATTTGGGTCGAACCTTTTGGCATTGCAAGGGAGTAAGGAGGGACTTTGTGCTTTGATTCTGCAAATTCCACTCTGCACATCCCTCGAAATCTCCCGGCACAAGTCACAGCTTTGTTTGACTGCTGCAAGCCTGCTTGCTCTGCAAAAAAAGCACCCAAGGGGCTACAAGAACAATGTGTACTGGGAAGACGGGGTGCCACGGGAAAGGTGCATCCGACTTGTCAACCATTTACTGTACACAGAACTCCACCTTCTGCGGTCCTCCCGGCGTCCGCAGCTCATTCAACTGGCGGAGTTGAACGATGACTTGGAAGAACGCATGGCCTCCGGATAGCTTGAGCTACATGAATTCAGTCTGTGGTTCAGCGGTCGAAAACGAACCATACATGCGCTCCAAAAGCAAATTGAAGTAGGGTGCCAAGATCAGTAAATTCATCTTTGACTGCAGAAATTCAGCTGGACATTGCTGTCTCACTGGTATGGTGGAGCAAAACATCACAATCCCAAAGCTTCAATTCGGTCGATCAAAAGACAGCATGGCCATGAGGTTGGTTGGCCCTACCATGCTCACTGGTGCAGAGAAAACCGCTGCACTCTGTACACAAGAATCCCAGCCCCTGAGGAGTGATATGGGCGGAAGTCCTAGTCATGTGCGTCGGGGCTGGAGCAACTGGTGCGAAATTGTTACACCTTCTGCACGAGAAATGGGCCAGCGCAACTGAGCCAAGTTTGTACCAATTTTAATTTGGACAACATGACAACATGTTCGCTTCAAGAATCAGAAGGGACAGCATCTCGAGAAGCTCGAGATCGGGACCCATTGATTCCAGCCCTTGAGCATTTCGCACTAGTTCCGACCCAACAAGGGCGCCAGAAAATGAGAATGATCCATCATGGGAGGAGCGAGCTTCAAATTCCTTGGTGTGAGTTGGAGGTTCAGACAGGTTTCCTAAAGGCGACAGAACACTGGAAAGAAACCTTGGCGGCTCGTGGGTTACCTTTTGCTTGCAGTATGGCCTGTCACTTTGGACTGCAGTGAGTTGGTGTCTCACTTCATGCAGTCCGAGGGTGGCTGTAGCAAGCAATGAGAAGGGTCTCAGTGAGGGAGAGTTGTTTCACTCTTTCGCTATATTGATCTACTTGCTTTCTTTGTTAACAACATCCAGAGATCTCGAAGGGTTATTAACAGTTCTACAGTACAGGGCTTCCACAGAGAGCCACATCATCCGAAGGTTCCAATGATCGCAATGGCCTGGGTGACGCTCTGTTTGCTGCTACCTGCTGCGATTGCCAAGTCCTTCCCATATCCGGCACCTTGGTTACTGGCGCACAGAGCGCGGTGTCGGGTGGATTGGAAGACCTGTCCTTGGCCGCCTTGGCCCTACGGGTTTTCGGAACCAAGGCCCAAAGGGTACCCACAGTCTTCTCGGCAGAGACCGCACTGTCGCGGCTGAGTTCCACAGAGACCCTTGATTCATTTATCACAGAGAATCTAGGCTTGACCCCAATGAGCTCTTGTTTAGTTTAGCGCCATTGCCAGGGTGGAGTGGCTTCCATCACAGGAATAATAGAGTCGGGAAACTCGCAGTTTGTGCTTTGGTCGCAGCCCCTGAGGATTCCTTTGATCATGTGGTGGCCTGCGACACGTGCAATGGAACTGGGGCTAGGGATTGCAGCAGCTCGGATTGTCAGTCTCGATGCCCCAGCGAAGGGAAGCAATGCTTCAAGAGCAACCGCTACAAGTTGGGGTGTTGCTGTGATCCGGCAAAAATGCCGTCGCCGAACATCTACAAGTGTAGGCGAGGAGCCAAGAAGAGTGGACCCAATCAGTGCTTGTCCGAGTGTTGCCAAGCGGTCACGTATGCCGAGAAGAAGACATGGGCGACGATCTGCGGAGATGGCTGTTGCAAGCCAAGCAACCACGGGACCCAAAACCAATGTGGATCAAGTTGGCCATTGGGCTTGAAGGGAGGCAAATTGAAACGACACCCATGCTGCCTGCTCAAAGGTGCCTCCCAGGATCATCAGAATGGGGCACGTTGCTGCTTTCATGGGGATGGTGTGAACTGTTCCTCGCCAAAACAAGAGCCTTGCTGCCTGCTGGCCAGTACCACAACCACGCACAAGAACCAGAGCACAGACCCTCATGCGGTGTGCCAGAGAAAAACCTGTGCAGCTTACATTCCCTGCCAGGCTTCAAGAGGTGTGAATTGCGAGTCCAGAAGCAAAACAGTTTGTTGCCTGAAGGCGACACAGCCTTCTATCTCTGACCCGTGCCAGATATCTGTGGAAGACTGCAACAGCCGCTACATGGCATGCAATGCCGGCGATCAGCTGGGAATCGACTGCTCCTCGTCCTCGGGCAGCAACAGTGTTTGTTGCTTGCCAGCCGGTAAGGAAACAGAAGCTTGCCGGCGTGGGGATTGCGCCGAATACCAAAGGGAACAAACCAGTAGGGTGATCGGGGTGGTATGCGTTTCGATTGCTTGTTTTTGCGCCCTCCTTTGTGGGTGCATATTGTGCCACCGACGCCTTCAGCTTCTGTACAGGAGACTGACTGATCCTTTGCGAGCTTCACTGCTACTTCCGGGTGCACGGGTTAGCCTTGCCCCAGTTATAGAGCATCCCCGCCGCATTTTGCTTGCCATCTCTTGCCAGGGTTATCAAAATGGCTATGGCGTCCTTGAGACACCACATGGCGATGCAGACCTGCTGGCAGGAGCATGTGAAAGCATGGGCTATGAGGTGGGGCTTGGCTGCTGTAGATACAGTGTAGTGTCGTGTTTGCTGTTCCTTTGCTTGTCCACCACGCTTGGGTTGCAGTCAGACTAATTTGTTGCAGTCGGATTTCCTGTATATATTGGATCCAATTTGGAGTAGCTAGTACGTCAGAGCTGCAAGGTCAACTGGTATCGGATGCTATTGCAATTACATAGTATCCCTAATACTAGGATTCGATTGTATCTGATACTTTGGTGATTCTTCAAGCGTTGGCACTGACCAGGTCATCAAGATACAAGGTTCGAGCCATGGCGCTATCTTCGAGGGATTCCGGCGTGCGGTACACTTGGTGTCCGGAACGACCAATGCTCTCCTGCTCGTCTCATTTTCTGGTCATGCAGTCGAGATCAATGGTAAGATGATGTGGGCCCCTGAGGATGCCGTCAGGGGTGATATGAATACCCACTTCAACGTCGCATCCGTGTGCCGCGACTTGATGGAGGTCCATCTTAACGATGGGGCAGAACGGTTTGGTGCAATGCAACCTGCCAAGAGCCTCTTTGTCGTACTTTTGGCAGATTGCTGCCGCGAGCCTGGTGGGAGCCACTGCGAACCATTTCAAGAAGCGCGGCATGGCAGAAGGCGTCGTGACAGGCCGAGCTTGTACATCATCTATGCCTGTGGCCCTGGCCTTTTGGCTGCTGACGCTGCTCCAGATGGCAGCCACAGCCCCTTCATGCACCACGTGGTTGAGCAGATACAGTCTGAACGAAGAGTGTCATGCTTCGCGGCCGTAGTCAATGAAGAGCTGAAGAAGACCACGAACTACCGGCAAGAGGTTTGGCACCCTGAAGGTACGGGCAATTTCGATGGCGTCACCTTGTCCGTGCCAGGGCGGTTGCGCAGTGGCAGTGGCTCTTCGATGCTGACCGAGAACAGCCAACCAGAGGTTGTTCCCAGCAGACAGCCCTAGGGCCCCGTGGCAGCACATTCTGACAGGATGGCATTGCAGCCCAGCTTTGCACAAGTCAAGGCTCTTTTGCAGCACATGTTACATACTAGTACAGCATGCTGCATGCTTGTGTTCCATTTACGGGTGTTGTGCCATCTGCATTTTTATGAGCACTCCACCATGGAGTCCGTGGAGAATTGGGTGCTCCGGGCTCATAGTACAGAGCAATCACAAACCGGAAGACAGCGATCAACAGTGAACTATTCTTTCTATCAGCGTGATCAGTGATCGGGTACGACTTCAGATGTGTAAAGACATTATATTGACATTAAACAATATATATTTATATGATTCAGGTTTAGTGCTGTACAGCATCATCGGCTGTATTCGGGAGTCTCAGGCCTTGCAGATGCCAAGTAGCAGCTTGTGACAGACTGCGCAAAAAAGTGGAGAGTCCAGAGCTGGAACTGAACGACTTCGATTCACCGATGAAAGGACAACTGCAGATGGAAGCTTTGCACACCGCAGGCTTTGCAACGAGAACATGGGATGCCATCAGGAACAAAGAGTGGCCAATACAAGACACCCCAAGCACAACCCTGGTGAACAAATCATGATTTGGTAACAAGAAGCTGCTAGGAACAAGTGCATCGCTTCTAGTAACAAGTGCCTTACTAGTAGTAACAAGAAACTAGTAGAAACAATAAATGTAATTGGTAGAGTCCCTTTGCCTCGGTCATGGACAAACGACGAGGTGACCAGGCGGCGAAGCCTCGTGAAGCTGTGAACCCACAGCCCGCATACAGATCTTGCCAATGCAGACCATTGTAGCTGCAACCGAGAGGACTATAGGAAAGTGACAAGTAGGACGAAGAACAAACTGGGCAAACGAGTAGCACGCATCACGCGTCGCGGACAGTCCCATGGCGCGACCCATGCGGCGCTGGGCCTTGCGAAGTGTGCAGGTTGGGATGTCGAGAGGGGATGTTTGCACCACGCCAGCAATGAACACAATAGCGTCCTTGCTCCTAGTAGTAAGGCACTTGTTTCTGTTGATGACAGAACACACACCTCCCATGAGCGTTTGCATGGCTTGATCATGTTTGATCTTGAAGCCCTTTTTACATATCAAGTGGGGCCAAGAAGCCCTGTAGGCCCGTGAAGGCCTTGAGAGAACGCAGAAAAAAGAAGAGAGCGTTTTCTTGTTGAGTTTGGGTTGGAAGAAGGTTTTTGTGTTGGAAGTGTTTGGGGTGAGGACCATGCCCTCCTATCAACAGGTTATGAGCCCAACGCATGATAGCTTTTTCCAAACCCCACCTCCAGCTCCCATGATGCGCCGTCGACGAATGGCGAATGGTGACCTGGAGCCAGAGCAGCTGGCATTGCCTCCGATGGAGCCTGGTGATCATCCTCCCGCAGGACAAGAGCTGGCTGTGGTGGAAGAGGTGGAAAAAGAAAGAGATGGTAAAGAAGAGGAGGGAAAAAAGATGTTGAGCACCCCTGCTCGAACCACCACGGGAAATTTGGATTCGGGACCGGCGACACTCCCAACTGAGCCGGAAGCATCCAAAAGTGGAGGTTCAAAAGAAGGTCAAATGGTGGGTGAACTTGAAGTTCCTAGGGGACGACCTATGGCTCTTGCCCCACTGTCTCAGCCCTTT